TACAATGATACCTAAAAATGATGCATTCAAAATAGCAGTGATCTTAATCCACCATATATTTAACTTAATTTTCAAATTTTGCTTTAAGCTGAGTGTCTGACGTTTCTAAAATGATGCTTCATTTGAGATCTGTCACATGACTAAACATCTGGTATTTGCTCATAGTGTAAATCTTAACGTGTTCTAGTCTGGTTACAAATGGTTGAGAGCATCCAACCCACTGTTCCTCCAGCACCAGCAACACCTCCAGTGGCAGCTCCCGTCAGACCTCCCATACCTACAGTGAGATTATAGATGCCATCAGCTGTTTGTTATTCATGTGTAAAGCTTTTATGCTATTCTTTTTGATGCTTCTCTGTACAGTATATGATTTGCATTATATCTGTTTTATAACCAAATTTATTGATAACTTAACTGAAGCATCTGGTATGCTGTCAAAAAAAGTCTCATGATTTCCATCGTCACTCAAGGGATCAAAAGAAAACCATCAGCTGATTTTCACAAATAGCTGATTTACTAAAAAGCTTTTGATATAATGTAAAAATTGATACAAACAGTGATACTGCAGAAAAAAACAACAGGCGAAATGAAGGTGTTTCTTTGTTTATTTGTTTGCATCTATGAAGCATTATGGAAACATACTTTTCAAGTTCACATATTTCCAGCAGTTACAAAATCCAATAAATTGATCGCTATTTATTGTTTTTTTGCCAGGGCACCAGACACGGCACTGAGCCGACCTCTAATGCATCATCAATATGACACTTCTGGTCATCAAAGAAGATGTGAGGCTTGATCCTCTGCAGGGAGGGACCTTTCTTACTCCCTCCCAGAAGCACAGCTTCATCAAGCTCCACACCCCAGGTGCGCAGAGTGTTTAAAGCTCTGTAGCCGTCACAGCCTGCCCCTCGAGATGTCACCAGGTAGGTACGAATGGGACACTTCTTGTACAGGCCTTTGCTTTGCAACTTTTTCTGCAGTTTTATTAAAACCTCCAAGAATCCTTTGAATGGTCCCTGAATAAAGGACAAACTGGTCAAAGCAGGAAAGTGTATTTTGGATAATTTAGCTGATATCAGTTTATTTGAATGTAATCTAGCAGAAATGTTCTTTTCTACGATAAAATATGTATTGTTTATGACATCACTGAAGGCCAACATAACTATAACCACGGAGTTAAATAAGGTGTTTTTTAAACATTAAAGAAGTTAAAATGTGTTTCTATTATACCGTATTCATTGGAATTTCAACATTTTGCTCCTCATTCTTCAAGTATTCTTGTAGTCCACCACTCTTGAACACGAGCTCTGACTCATTAGAGAAGAGGACAGCGTCGCCATCAAAGGCAACACGCAGCTGATTCTCAGACTCTGTGATGATGTTTGTTGGGGTGAACATGATAGCAGCTGCTACACCTGATGCAGGGACATTCATTCACAGTAACACACAGAGTCATTAATGTACAACAGCACAGACTGCACTTCATCTTTAAGTTAGCACAACATTTAACACTTTTACCTGCATTCAAAGCTTCCTGAACCTTCAACCTGTTTGGTTCATCAGACAAGTACAGGTGGGTGTTGTTTCTTTTTAGCTCATTCACAAGTTGATCTTCAGTCACTGGCACTGGTAACAGAGTGATAAGTTTTTCCAGCCCTGCAAACAAGAAGGAATGAAAAGGCTGCTGGACAATCTGTTTCCCCAAAACTGTTTAGATTCATCAGAGTAGTGTTAGCAATAGTGTTACTATTATTTACTTATATCTATTATTTTTTTATTGACTTGCTTTTAAAGTACTTACACTTTCAAGTGTATTCTACTTTATTCTATTTTGTTTTTAGTTGTTTTATTTTCTTATTGTAAGCCTGTCAGTGATCTGTGAAAAACTTTGAAGGTGCTGTACAAATAAAGCCTGAATTATTTAGAAAGACTGGTAGAGTCAGAGAGTTAGAGGTTTCCTTATAAGACCCATCTATTTGAATTAATAATAAGTGTGTTTGGAGGTGTCATAAACTCACCATGTTCACAGATGTGATCCATGAGAAAGTCTGATGATGAGCTGTCATCGATGAGGATGACTTTAAAGAGCTCCTCACTCTCAGGATAATGGTTTATAAGTTCAGCATTGACTGCCTTCAGAGCCTGAGAGCAGGACAAGAAAGAGCAATTAAAATGAAGTGAATGTTAAATAACTGTGTGAGTGCAGTATTTGTGTGCAGGTTTTTTGTGGCGCTTTCTCTTATGTGGTATATTCTCATCTTCCACAGTCCAACGTCTAACCACTACATGAAATTGTGTGTGTGCATGCGTGTGTGTGTGTGTGTGTGTGTCTGTGTTGTGTGTGTGCGCATGTGTCTGTGTTGTGTGTGCGCACGTGTGTGTGTTGTGTGTGTGTGTGCTTTCCCCTCATAATATATGACCTTGACAAAATTGAAGGCAGGGCCATAGCCCTGCTGTTCCTGCTTGAAGAAGAGTCTTGAAGACATGGCAATGGTGACAGGGATCTCTGGTTCAAGCTGAAGGAGAAAAAAATGTTCTGAGTATTCTAATACTCCCAAAATTCAATAAAGACATTTTTTTTGCATATCTTAAAAGTAAATTGTCAAAAAAAAATTATTATTTGACCTCTAATACAGCATGTATCTTAGTTAGTTGGTTTTAATGCTTTATCTGTACTTGTGTGGGGATTTTTTATGAATATGTTTTCAACCTTCAATCTCTCTCTGCCTATAAGACCTTAATGAAAATGACTTAATTTTCCTTGTATTCAGTGTATTCAGTTTCCAATACTGCCATTTAATTTTGTCTTCTGCTCTAGTGTCTGGTTCGATAACTCTTGTATACTCTCCCACTTTGTTTTTGTTATCCACAATTTTTCCTAACAGGAATCAATCGAATCATCCCACAGAACTGTTTTTTAGTGAGAAAAAAGGATTTCTGTGTAACACATGTTCAACACATACACTTATTGTTGTGATGAATAAGGACGTTTAAAAGATGGTCAGATGGAAAAACACAAACTCAGAAGAGTTGGTTTGTACAAAATGAAATGGCTGGCAGTGTCATGCTCTAACAGTCCTGCCCATTGTGTTTTTGTGTTTATTCTATCTCTTCCTCCCTATGTGTTTGTTTGCGCACTCTCAGAAGCGCTCCAGCACTGACGCCTTCCACACCTGCGGTAGCTAACCGGATCTGACCGGCTGCCAGTAATTGTCTGCCATCCTAGTGCTGTCTATTTAACAGTGTGGTCGGGCGTCAGCCAGCGCTGGAGCATTAAGCAAAGTTTGGTAATACAGTCGTGGCAGTATTTTGGATAGATAGAACTGTTGTTGTTTCACTTCACTGTAAATAAACTCACTGTTCTTCCCGAAGGAGCTCTGCATTCGAGTCCTCTCATTCACCACACCTTCACAGGCAGTGTATATTGTATCACAAGATGGCTGATGATTTGTTTCACTAACTCATCTACACAAGGGACTTCGAAGAGGCTACAGCAGCCGTGACAGTTTGTCTTGAAACAACAACTGTAATCTCCACATTTTGACCTTTTTCTCAAAATAGTATTTCGACGTTTTTTAGACGTAGTAGTTCATCCATGGAGTTTCATAGCCAAGGCAAGTTGTTTATTCTTATTCTGACATTTTAGCAATTACTTTTTTGTTGCAGCTTGACCCGTCAAAGCTGAAACTCGAACTCTTCTCTATGCAGTTGAAACTGACATTTGCTTACTACGATCACTTTTAATCTGTGATGCTGTGAGCCACGTCACGCAAGCTGTTGACTCTCAGAAACTTGTGTTTGGAGTCTTTGGGTCTACCAGGTCTCTTCCTCTCAGTTTCCCCCAGTTTTTGTGGATCAGCAAGTGACTTTTATCCCCTCTGCAGCATTTTTTCCAAAATCTACTCTTTTTGGATTATTCAAATGTTTTGGTCCCAAGATAATATTCAAATTAATGCTGTGGGATTTAACACATATCTGTATATGACAAAAGAAAGAAATTGCCTAACTTGTCAAAAGAAAAGAGGTTTAGAGTAGTATACTGCAACAGTTGGTTGTAGTGTCAGTTACAGGAAGAAAGTTCAATGACTCTGTTCATAGCTGCGTATCTTTTTTTAAATTATTCTTGAATACTTAACAGAAGTTTACACTATATTTATAAAAACTGCTATAACAGACATATTTTCTTGTTAACAATGAACAGCTTTCTGTAATACTGTTTTATTGAATAATAAAGTGAAAAAAACCTAGAGGATGGCACACCATTATCCACCAACAGAGCATATAGCTTTCACTAAGTTGTTAAAGCTACTACATAACCGGCATAAATTAATAGGTTAAACTTGACTTACTGTAGAAGTTTTGCCCTCACTCATCGTGCTTCTTAAAGTATTGGACCACAGATAGAAATAAGCTTGAATTTCTTCTTTTTGCTGACTGCAGTACAGTAGCTGCTGTTCTTCCTTTTGATTCTAATTAGAAAAACCACGTCATGATGTAGAACCTGTGGAACCTGTTGCCCGAAGGATAAATGCCGGTTCCACAGATAGACACACGTCATTATGCTGCAGTGAGGATAAAGCTTTCCCTTCTGTTGGATTCTACCTCAAGGTCAACTAAAACACTTGAATATATATTTGAATATATTTAAATCTACCAGGCGCTCCTGCTGTTTCCTCTCTCTGTTTGTTTTGTTTAAACAAATTATCACTCAGGCTGGTAGAAGTTGCACATATCATACACGTATTCATTTCGAAGCATCCTGATGATCAGTAACCAGGTTTTTCTTCCTGTTGTCAGGTGGAGCAGTGGTGTCTGCTCCTATTGTCCTGGGGGCTGTAGGTTTCACCTCAGTTGGTATAGCTGCAGGCTCCTACGCTGCAAGCATGATGTCTGCAGCTGCTGTGGCCAATGGAGGAGGAGTGGCAGCAGGAAGTGTGGTGGCTGTTTTACAGTCAGCAGGTAAAAAAACAAAAACAAAAAAACCCTTAGTATGATATACCGGACAGACCTTATAAACAATAACATGTCGCTGTGTTGCAGTGAGGATAAAGCCTCCCTCTCTTCTCTGCAGCTCAGTTACTTCATCTAACTGCTCGATCAGCTGTCTGGTGTTCTGAAGCCTGTTTTCTCTCTGCAGGTATGGCAGGTCTGTCTGGGGCCGCCACCGCAGCCGTGGGCTCTGTTGGAGGGGCTGTGGGATTTTTGGCTACTCTCATCTGAGACCAGGAAATTATGATAATCAGAAAGAAAAATAATAATAACAAAGAAAATAATTACTGTTGTTGGAAACAGTTGCCAAAAGTATCAGCGTCATGCTTCAGTAAAGCTTGACTGAAATGTGAGTGCTGGTAATGCTGTGGTGTTTTATTACAAAACACATGAACACGGTCAAATTGTGCAACTTAGAATAAAGCCCTAATAATGAAAAGCATTTTAAAGTTGTGTTCACACATGATACAAATTATTTTTTACTTTTCCACAGCATAATTATGCTCTGATAACAAAGTGATATCTTATCATCTCAGACATGTTAAAAAACGTTGATGGTCTGCCCAAAATGATTTCTGCTATATAAACTGTTGGAAATAAATTGCTGACATTTAATCTGTCAAACACATCTGAAACATGTCTCTCATTAATGACATCTGAGCAGTTTTGTGCCAGAAAGAACATTCCAGTCAAAACCACGCTCCAGTTTGTGTTGCTCTCTGTCGCCCTCTGTT